ATTAGATCCAACTGACTATGAACAATTAATCTCTTAATTTATATATTTATATTTATATACATTTCTTTCTATATTTATTTCTTTTAATTATTATTTATTTATTTGTTTATAAAAAAAAAATTTACAAAAAAAAAAAAAAAAAAAAAAAAAGAAAAAAATGTTTTTTTACTCTTCTTCTTCTTCATCGCTTAAATTAAACCCCTCTTGTAACTTCAAATTATTATATTTTTCCAACAACACTTCATATTTATTTTTATATGATATAGCCTCTTTTTGGATTCGAGCTACATTCGCAAAAAAACCCAATGTAGAATTATAATTAACAATAACCTTCTTGGCTTTGTTAATTTGAAACTCCAACTGTGCACAATTAGTACACTCAGTTATTCGAGAAAGAAGATGAAAGTTCGAACGAGTTGAAGCCACAGAGGAAGAAACAGAAGCAGGACGTTCCTGAAGCGAGGAAACATCTTGACGAAGCTTCAAAAGGAAAGCTTGCATCGTAATTTGAGATGCAAGCAAAGCATCGATTTCAGAGGCAATAGAAGAAGGTGTAGGTGGATTGAACATCTATGAAAATAAAAGATCAAAAGAAAAGTTAATAATGAGCAAAAAAATAAAAAAAAAAGTTAAATGATGAATAAATTGTCATTATTATCAAGAAACTAAACTGGAGCGTGCAGAAAAAGGAAGAAAAATTAAAGCTGGTCACTCTAAAATTTCTTTTGTCCAATTATGAGGGTCCCAGTTACCCAAGTGAAAGGACAGAAAAATAAACTCTATACCCGAAGGTATAGAAAGTTTCTTGACAATAACTAGTATCTAATCATCGACAAGAAGGAAAAAGATAAAAGAAACTAATAGTTACTTTGGTTTGAGATAAAATTTTGAAGTAACTTTAAGACAAACAAAAGCTTATTAAATAGTTATAAAAATTATGGCTTAGATCTAGATTATGAGTTATAATTTGATAGAACATTCTTGTCGAAACTTTTAGAAACTTTTCGAAACAAAAGAACAATTACAACACAAGTACAAAAATGGCATGATTGTAGATAAGCCATAAAAGGAAATAATGACTATGCAAATTTCACAGAGTTCAATTTTTCAAGGAGGGAGTAGTGTAATATTATAGATATTTTTAAACATTATTTTATATTATTTTATTGATATTATATTAGTTTTATATTATAT